CTAAAAGCCTTTTTCCGGGGTGAAAAAACCAATTTCTACAATTTGTTTAAAAAAAGTTTCTTTAAACAAATGGGCACCAGATTTCCGGCCGGCATCATCTTAATTCATGTTAAGAAACATCTCACGAATCTGAATATGCAAAAAAATCGAGTCGGAAAATTTCCCCCACGAATGCGAGGTTTTCGCCTTATCTATGTATAATAGTTGACAATATTGAATAAATGTTAAAACTATGTTTCCTAATTCCAATATTTATGTAGAGTATCTATGCTTCACAGTAATCAACTCCTAAAGGCACTAATTACTTATTTTAACTAATAATTTTAAATTAATTTGTGGTGTATGATGTAATTAATTCGCATGTAATGACTCAAATTAAAGAATATTCCTTTGTAACTGTATAACCTATATGTTCTTGTTCTTCACATTTTTCATTGTGTCCTCGTCTAGTTTTCAATTTTTTTTCTTATTGACGTTCTAATTATGTATTATTTTATGTTTCATTTTGAGTACCTAATGTTTACAAAACATTTTGTATTTCATTGATGTATTTCCTGTAATTGGATGTTGGAAATAAATGTCTTATGATATGTATTGTTATTACTGCTAATTGAAATGTAACGTCTAAATAACAATGTTCTATGATTTCATTACAATTTAATATTACAAATTGTTATATTCCCTAGGAATTTCATTTCGAAAATTTAATTCCCCGTATGAGAGGATTTTTTGTGTTTATTACAGATTACCATTTAATTTTGTTTTATGGCAGATGGCAGAGAAAAAAAAAACGATAACGAAAACCGGGATGAGAAATTGAAGAATACTGAGAAAATACAAGGTGTTAATTAAGTATGTACAATAAATTCAACAGACGATTATTTGAGTGATTTTAAGACGAAAAGTTCATATAAACATTGGTCCACAGATGCTTCGTTTTCAAGATACAGGGTGTTAAACTTTTGTAAAAAAAATTGCCATTTCGTAAATGTCTTAAATACTCTTTATCCAATTTTGTTGTAATTTGGCGGTGTTATTTGTAGTGTTAAGGGGCTAATTTAACCCTAACTTGATTAGATTTGTTAAGTCCAGTGGCGTCCCGAGCGGTACCTTAACGAATATTTTTAATAATGTTTCTTGTGTGGTCCAGGGATATGCAATTAAGTGGATTTTATTTTTATTTTCTACAAAAATTAATCAATATACGAAAAAATTTATTTATTGTACTTGTATTCGAAATAATAAAAGACGTTTATTATTATTATTATTATTATTATTAAGATTCAAGAGACAAAAAAATTGTACTTTTAGTTGCTTAATTAAAAAAAATATAAAAATTACAAAAAAGTAAGTGCGTAAATTTTTTTTGTCAAAAAAATTCGTTAAGGTACCCCTCGGGACACCACTCGACTTAATAAATCTAATCAAGTTAGGGTTAAATTAGCCCCTTAACACTACAAATAATACTGCCAAATTACAACAATATTGGGTAAAGCATATTATTTAAGATATTTACAAAATAGCAATTTTTTTACAAAAATTTAACACCCTCTATCTTCAAAACGAAGCATCTGCGGACCAATGTTTATATGAACTTTTTGTCTTACAATCACTCAAATAATCGCCTGTTGAATTTATTGTACATACTGAAACAATGAAAAAATAAAGGAAAGGGGCTTATACAGGTTTAAAGTTAAAGTTATCTATTTATCTACACTACAATTCAAATACCGAGTGATATCTTTTATTTATTGGAGCATCCAAGGAGAATGAAAACTAAATTAATAAATAATTTCAACCCTTACACAATTACATGTACGTTAAAAATTGACTTTTACATGATGTTTTTTAAGTGTCTACAAATTTACTACATCCACCTAAAAAAAGCAATGAAATTATAGATGACAGAATCAGTTCACCAGTTCATTTATTATTATTAAAAATAAAACACACATTTTAACAATCATTAATAATAATCAATTTAATTAATAATCAATTTAACAGTTAATCATTTCTTTTAGCGTTTCAAATTGAAAGTCGTAATTGTACAATTGTGAAAACTGACTACACGAGCAGGTATTGACCCGCCAAAGAAGATTTATACAAAAATATATGCAGGTAGTTGTAGGTAATATACATGTCATGTAAATTAACTGTAAATGTAAAAATTTTCTCTTCACATTTTTAGTAATTTTTTAACTTTAGGATACAGTATTCGAAAAAATGTTGTTTGATACTCGATTGCGAAATTCTTTTGCATTCGCGGGTGATTTTTTTTAAATAACTATTTTCGCAACTTCCATCAAAGAAAAATACTGTTTTTAGTCTGAAAAAAAAAAAACAAAATAATAATTTACTTAAGAATATAATAATTCTAAATCGCTATATACTGTTGTAGGTGTCGAAAAAAGTAACATTCCTTAATATTATGGCTATACCGTAACGAATGAATCGTTTTGGTATTACAGCTTATAGCAGTAGTAAAAGGTGAATAACCAAAAAATATAGTATCATCTCATCGTTTACGAACTTTTACCGTAAAACGAATCGATATATTTAGTAAAAAATCTTCATCAAAACAAAGATTAATTTGTTTGAAGTGATGCTGTGATAAAAAGTTAAATAATAGTTTCACAAGATTTACATTTACTCTTCTAGGTCTTGACATTTTCAGGCAACACTGTAATTCTTTTGTTTGACGAGTTCAACATAAACTGAAATGTTATTTGAAAATGAGGACATCGCGATGATAAATATTTGAAAAGTGAGATATTTTTAGAACTTTCACTGAATTGCAGTTTTTTTTTCATATGTTGTATATCAATTTTCTTGCATATACAAATACTTTAAAACAGTTTTCATATCGCTAATGTAAAATGGTTTTATTAGAGGCATACAACGCCAAATTAAATGTAAAAAAATAGAAAAAATAATCAAAACAGAACTTAATGAAATATGTATAAAGATTTACCGAAAAAAATCCCTCGGCAAAAACAAGTTTACTTTATCGGAAATAAATAAAAGCGGCTCCTCGGACTCTTCCTATTTTGCACCAAAATGTATTAATGAATTCTGAGAAATTGAGTTGTTTTCAGTAGAAATTTTGCACGGAGAAAACTGATATTTGATCGCTATTTCTTTAAATCAATATTAACTATATTTCACTTATATTAGTATTATTCCAGCAATTAAACATTTATATCTGTTATGAAAATGAATATTGGATTCACATGAAGCGTGAAACTTGGAACCTGGTGTTTAGAGACCAGGATAAGCTCTGTTGTGGTTAAATATAACTTGACACCCTCTCGATGGTACTTTGCACTAAAACTTTCAATTGACACTTTCTTGTGTCGTTTCACTGTATTTAGTTTTGGGCTATAGAGGACTTTTAGAGCAACGCAGGATTGTAGGAAGACCTAAATTGTAGTAAAATCTGGATCTACGGAGTTGACGTTTCATCGCATCACTTGACGGCTGCGCCAAATTCCCAAGGTAGATCTTTGTATTTAGGGCGCACTTAGAAGGACGGAATTTCTGGCTCTTCCGGGGCGATAGTTACCCGTACTCTGAGGTGGCTCGGCGTTTGGTTTTAACTACCCCGCATCGTAAAAATTGCCAATCTGGGTGCTGTTTGGATGACAGGATTGATATTATCGGACGGATATGCCTGAGCTTTATAGGGCTCTACGAGCGAATTCTTAAGGCGGGTATCCATTTGTGTCAAATGCCCCGTAATGTAACACCGAACAAGTTACGTTACTGCTAGTGGAGACGGAAAATTGTTGCATGGTACGTGTAACAAATTTGACACTCGTAACTAATCCGGGACGAACCATCAGTTGTCGGTTTTTAGTCGTCGCATCAAAGGGGTTCAACAGTACTTTCTGTTGCATGTTGAGACGGGGTTACCCTTTTGGCCGTAACGTTGCCTGTTGCACATGTGATTTTGTCTTATTTTTTGTTTCGTCAGTCTTTTGTATATGGTCTGAGGTCAGTCTGTTTTCTGCAGTGACTAGGAAGAGTGTGCTTTTCTGTGTTTGTGCCATGGAGTGGAGTAAAGAAAAGATATCCAGAGATTTCCGTTTCTTATTCTTCAAAATTGTATGATGAATAAAAATATATGACGCTGCTGCTAATTGCAATTGCAGTGACGAATCCATTATTGCAGTAAGGTTCATACTGCGAGTTTATGTTCCTGTGTCGTCTCGTAACCTTATTTTGTTACGTTACGGAATGGATGATACAACTAAAACCACACATACTTTCGCAGCGAACCGTGTTACCTTTTGCAACAGGCAGTAAAATGTTCGTTGTTACGTTAATGAGCATTCCCACAAATGGATACCCGCCTGTAGTGTGGTTTGGAAACATGAGAACATGAGTATGTCATGAAATTTACTCGAAGTATCTTACACAACAGTAAGATAAGAAAACACTTCCTTCCCAGTAAGGTTTAGCTCGTAAAGGATTTTCAGTTTTAGGATAGAATAAATCTCAAATAAGTAATTTTGCTTCTTCAATGAAAATAAAGTGCAAGAATAATGAAAATTATTTTGCTTTCCTTTGTATGAATTTATGTGAATTACGGTTTAAGCATATAAAACCATAAAGATTAATTCTTTAATTCATATAATCTTTAATAACAGTCTGGAGACATTTCAAACTGAGTTAATGCAAGTAAGATGTTATCTTAAATGAAGTTAACTTATTTAAAAATAGTCACAAGTTTAGGTGGAAAGTCGCGGCAAAATAATAAATTTCACTGGGTAATGAAAAGTTGTGAAAAATTGTCTTAACCCCTGACTTCCCCTATGCATTGAAATTTAACAATATAGTGATCACTAATATCGACCATAAAAATTGATATCATCGCATGTATACCGAAATTTTTGGTACTATGCAAGTAAGGAATAATTATTTCAATTATTCTTTTTATTTCCAACTAGGATGAAAAATTATTGCTTATCGCTTTGAGATCAATTAAAAACTTAACATACCTGCAATTCTGGTGGTCCCCCTTCATCTCTTATCAATAAAAGGTAACTCTGGTTATCAACAAGGATCTCCTTTTTGAATCGACCGCCTTCTGGAGACTCTTCTTGCATGTAAGAACCCGTAAGGTACCGGTGAACCAAGGCTGATTTTCCCGACGATAGAGAGCCCACTATGCCTAATCTCAAGTCGGGTACTGAACGCGAGAGAGTCCATTCTTGGGAGTTGACAAATGAATCTGAAAAACGTCATTATTTAAAAAAGTGTCGAGATATTTAGATATATAAGGATGTGAAAATTAAAACTGCTTATTTTTCATTTATATGACAAACATGTTTTTCTATTGTATAACAGTATAACAGTAAATCAAAATATAGTAACGCTGTCTTTATCTAACTTACATCATTGTACAATTTATCTTATAAATAACGCTGACATATATCACGTTAGTGATAAAATCTTACAAATAAAACATTTTGTAGTTAATTATATTTAAGATTTTCAGTTTTATTTAGTTACTTGAAATTTGAAATTCACTTTGAAATTTTTTTGTTTAATTTAATAATTTAATTCCATACTTAAAAAAATATTTATGTATTTTGAATAGTTTATTTTCCGGTAACTAGAATTACTTTACACTGAGAAAATAGATAACTATTCGTGATTTTACCGTCTATAGATATTTCTAATTAGGCAAAAATAAGTTTACAAAATCAGTTCAGGAAAAAATCAAAGGAACAAAAATATTTCATAAATTTTTTAGTGATTTTTGAGAGGTTGTATTTAAGTGAAAACATTTTTTGAGATGATTATCGATAAATCAAAAGAAATACATCGAGAAAAAAATTTTCAAATTTTTTCTTTTGGTTTGTCCACGAACTCATTAATGTAGAGGTCGGATAACTTCTTTAATCAGCTTCAATTTACTTTTTGTACGTTTTCGTTGGTTACCGAGATATCGATGGTTGAATAAAAAAATGACTCTTTTGTCTTCAATCATCGATATGTCAGCAACAAATTATTGAAAAGTAAATCCAAGAGTGGTTTTGAAAACTTGAATAAATTCTATACAAAAGGACTTACCATGATTTTCGAAGAAAAAATTTTTTTTGTTACATCTTTGACATTATTTCGAAAAAGAGAAAAAATGTATTTTAACCGTTTTATTTTTTTAAACACCTTGATTAAAACACCCCGTATTTATGTAACCTAATAACAGTGGGTACCTATTTTAAGTTCTTACTTTAATATAAATATTTACGTGTGCTATTTTCTGGATTAGAAAAATGATATTTACATTTAAAATTCGCAGCAAGCGTGTAACGTAGTAATAGGATTTTTCTACAAATAGTTCACCTAAGTACACAACCTCATTTCCCAATATAGAGTGCGTGACACATGGAATTTTTAAACAGTTTTTTCGGAAGTATATGCTACACTGGAATGTTATTCACTTTAAATTCCCATAGTTAGGACTCGTGAATTTATTTATTTTTAAAACGTGACGGGATGTAACGTAGTATGTTATGAATTAAAAGTTAGCGAGGGCGGTTTGATTACTTAATGTTACTTGATATTCTAAGAAGTCCCGAAAACTGCCTTTCGATGTACTAATTAAAAACGTATTAGTTTCGCTTACGGCACCTTTTAGTCACTTTACTTATTTTTACGCTATGATTCAAAAAGTCAGTAAAATGAACGGACCTAACTTTTCCAAGTTAGTAATTAGCGGACTAAATCATTGATTAAAAAATGGTTTTATAGGACAAAAAACAGTTTTAAGAACATAAGAAAAAATGTACACTTGAACAATTCATTGCATTGTCAGTAAGAAGTGATTTTTTTATGAAATACACATTAAAAAGGTGCTCTTAATGTTACAATGGTTATACTTTTCCACCATCTTTACTCTTAAATATAGCTTAGTTTGAATATGATCTTATTTCTTAGTTAAAACAGAGGTCGCTAAGATAAATTTAAACCTCCGTTTTTTTTCGTTGGTAGAAATTTTAAGAAAACAAATAATTTTTAAAACGTCACTTTGCTTACTTTTTAAAATTGGTATACTTCTCTATGCATCGTTCCAGATAAAAAGGGATTTCAAATTTTTACAGCAGTCATCAGTTACGGCCAGCTGAATATTTAGTGATATTCCAGTCTTATTAAATTAAACTTTTTTTTGCTAAATTTGCATCGGAACTAAATATTTTTTACGATTGAAACCAATTTGCCTCAATTCAAACACTGCATCTATTAGGATATAGTTCTGTTAATTTCATTCTTTATAGAAATTATAAAAAATATTTGAATTAACTTCAAATAGAGTTGATAATAAGAAGAAGGGATAAAGATAATAATAATAATTAAATATGATAAATTACAGTAGCACATCTTACGGTACGTCACAATTATTTTTAAAATTATGTAAGAGTACACCAATACTACAATTGAAAATATCACATATATGATATACAGAGTTATAGTTGCTGCACATAACATAAAGATATGATTTCAATAAAATATTGGTGCAAGCAGTCTCATTGTAAAACGTTCATGACACATTAATTCTCGGCACAAGAAAGTTAATTTGAGCAAGGAGGTTCGGTGCATCAACGATACTGTGCAGTAGCATAAAAATTTTACGCTATACTTACATCTTTCTTCTATACAATAATGAAGTGAAATCAAATCTGTTTAATAGATGATTATACTTACAATGGATATCTATTGTCAAGGCGGAATGCTAAAAATTTCAAAAAAATTTCTGTACTCTATCGATCATATTAATGTTTTAACATACATAGATGGGGTTCCATACCAAGGAGCAGTGTTCCAATTTAGAACGAACATATGATTGATACAGTTTAATCAGAACATTGTTGTTACGGAACTCTTGCCCCATTCTAAAGATAAAACCCAACATCCTCATGGACGATGAGACAGTTAGTTCAATATGTGCAAAAAAACTAAGTTTATTGTGGAAAAGCACTCCCAGATCTTTAACTTCAGCTATTCGTGTCAAAATTTCAGTCAATTCGGTAGTCATAAATAATTACATTTATTTACGTGAGAATATAACAGTCTTGCATTTGGAGATGTTTAGACAGAGGTAATTTGACACGCACCAGTGAGTAATTTTTCCAAATTCATTTGCAACCAGTCACAATCATCTTTTGATTCCGAGCCGAAAATATTTTCAAATCGTCAGCGAAAAATAACTTATCACATGTAATGAGTTAGCTCAAATCATCGATAAAAATAGAAAAAAGCAATGGGCCTAGGTTGGAGACATGTGGGACTCCTGATATAGACACGTAGAAATGCATTAATAATGCAAAGATCTGAACTTTCAGTCTCAAAATAGCCAGAGTTGCAGATTGTCGTGTGTCATTCACTTTTAAGAAGAGAACGAACACCTTCAGATAACAATCCTCCACACCAGCTTCGTATTCAGCACCTTCAGCAAAATGTGTTTATTGGACAATACCCATTATTTCAATCATTGTTCTGATAACGTTGCAATGTAGTTTTATCTACACCCCATAAAAGAGTAAACAAGAACTTTTCAGTGAAAAATTTACAATTCAACTTCTTAACTGAATAAAGATGGATCTCACCTTTACCTATCATCTTTTGGGTAGTTAAAGCCTTACCTAACAATGTATGTTGAAACATTTTTTTTAAAACATTCCTTTAAAATTGACTTTAAATTTAAGTGATAAACGATGTTGTTGGTAAAGCTTTAGTTGAGGAACTAATTGAAAATTGAAAAGAGTAAAGAATACATTACATTTGTTATTTAAGATTAATCTCATTATACATATACAACTACTTACTTGCTTAATTTTAAGGCTCAACTAAGACTACAGCAGAAAATAATAGGATCACGACATTTATCAAGATTAATAATAGATAAGAATGTAGTGAATACCTACATCACGCGGGGGAACAGAAACATAGCAAGTTCAATTAAAAATAATTTTTGTAAATTTCTAGGAGTTATCAGTGAAGTTTCGATATAATTTTGCAATTGTAATGAGTTTATTTTTATTTTTCGAGAAACTTTATAATGCATTTCTTTCGTTGTTTTTTTGTTCTTTTTTAAGCGCCGGAGATACTGTGAACAAATAAAAAATATCCTGAAAGAATAATGAACATCACACATCACTGACATGGAATCTGCAGTCAGCTAATTTACTTTGCATCGAGGTTCACTCTATGTTCGCTTATCTTGATTCTTAATAAAATAAATTAAACTGATAATTGTATCAGGTTAGATTTTCTCGAAAAAATGATTCCATTAAAGTTTTGTCTGGCATACGTCACGTAAGAAACGCGCAAGCGGGGAGTTACTAATGAGCAAGGCTCAGTAGAGGATAAAATACCTATATAAATTTAAATGACACCACTTATCCGATAAACCTTAATGGTGTGTTGAGACGAGGCTTCCCTGGCATATTGGAAGGAGTTGAAACATATTACTACGTGCTTTTATAAGTTTTCGTTAGTGAAACGGCGACGTTTATCACTTAATATTAACTTGTGTAGAGAAAATGACCGTTCAACGTCTACTGTTGACAACGGATAGTAGGTATAAGAAATTGTTGAATATGCTGGTAACTCATGTTATGTACCAGATAAAACTTTATATTTTTTCCAAAATCCTGGATGTGCGCGATCGTTTAGAAGAAAATCTTTATTCTTGTATGGAAGCGGGCGGTCATCAGTTTGAACATTTAATCAACTCAGTAGTAAGCAACTAAACATAATTTATATTTTAAAATGTAATTTTTTTTCAAAGTATTGGGCGGAATTATAAAATTTAAAGTCTATTGTAAAGAGAATTGTAAGAGTTTTCAAAAGAAATATTACTCAACCCCCAATGCCATTTAAATATTTTGGGGTGATGTTTACCCTTGCTTGGGGGGTGAAAATGGCGGAGTCGAAAATACCAGCAAAGAATTGTCCCCCTTTAATCTAAAATCGACGGTTTTGAGCGTTTTTCTACAATCTTGACGCAGTTCCGGAAAATGGCTTTGTTTCGTTTTCATTTGGCCACCCTGTATATTTAGCTCTGAAATTTTTATCTGAACTGAAACGATCCATTTCATTGTACCGTTAGATATTTTCAGGCACACCGCATATAGATAGTCATATAGCGGAAATATAGATATAACATAACAGTATCACGCAAACATCAAAGGACGACGTGCTTCAAAATGTAATTAGCCACTACAA